ATTTTAGGAATAAATTATGGGTAGGGTTAGGTTTAGGGGTAGGGATTGGGATTGGGTTTAGTCTATATTTTTGGACAGTAATGTTGATCCAGGATCAACAAAAGATGTTGATCCAGGAACATGTCTTACTTGGCAAAAACACGGCGACCGTGTGTGTAGAGATAGAGAGAGTGCATTTTATACAAATGCTGAGATCATAATTAAGTAAATTTATGTGCAGTGTTTTGTGTTTTCTAATTAAACTAGATGCACAATGCATTGTTCTAAAACTTTAATATATTCCATGCATGTTCTTTCTAAAAGCTGCATGACACACTATGTCTCACGGTCTCTCTCTCTATTATATATATATATATTTGATACTGTAGCTGATACATATATATATATATATATATATATATATATATATATATATATATACATATATACAGTATATATAGATAGATAGATAGATAGATAGATAGATAGATAGAACAGTGAAATTGTGACCCTGTGAAATTGTTTTCTAAGATGTGTTGACATTTTCTATTGAAACATGAAGTCAGCTGTAGATATATAGACTGTTGGATATATATATATATATATACAAGTACATCTAAAAAAATTAGAATATCATGAAAAAGGTCAATATTTTTTTGTCACTCATTTCAGAAAGTGAAACCCATATATTATATAGATTCATTACACTTAGAGTGAAATATTTCAAGCCTTTATTAACAGAAACAACGTCAGAAGCATCTTACCTGGGCTAAGGAGAAAAAGAACTGAACTGTTGCTCAGTGGTCCAAAGTCCTCTTTTCAGATGAAATCAAGGTCCCAGAGTCTGGAGGAAGAGTGGAGAGACACAGAAACCAAGTCCAGTGTGAAGTTTCCACAGTCAGTGATGATTTGGGCTGCCATGTCATCTGCTGGTGTTGGTCCACTGTGTTTTCTGAAGTCCAGTCAACGCAGCCATCTACCAGGAAATTTTAGAGCACTTCATGCTTCCTTCTGCTGACAAGCTTTATGGAGATGCTGATTTCATTTTCCAGCAGGACTTGGCACCTACCCACACTGCCAAAGGTACCAAAAGCTGGTTCAATGACCATGGTGTTACTGTGCTTGATTGGCCAGCAAACTCGCCTGACCTGAACCCCATAGAGAATCTATGGGGTATTGTCAAGAGGAAGATGAGAGACACCAGACCCAACAATGCAGATGACCTGAAGGCCGCTATCAAAGCAACCTGGGCGTCCATTACACCTGAGCAGTTCCATAGGCTGATTG